CCCCTCAGGAAAAATTCCACACTAGTCATTCTAACAGGACATGCAGATTTATAGCTCCATCCACCCTCTGCAGCTGTAGATCCCCACATTGCTTAGCATACACCCTCTCCCAGAGGCCGCTGTTAGCCTGGTTCAGTCCTTTCTAGTGGTCTTGGAGTTTTTCGCGCTGCCTGCATCCAAATCCTTCCCATTCCTCCAACTAAAATCTTGTCTCTGTGAAAACTTACCAGGCCCCTCCAGGTCATTCCAGCCTCTAACCTCTTACTCTGAACAGATGGTTTATTTGTTGAGTATTGCTGATAAAATCTGAGGCAAGATGAGGTTTAAGCCAGAGAAGGGTTCAGGTCTGAGTGGTTTCTGTCCGTTGGACTATCTTTGTGCCTTCTTGCCATATCTCTCATTTCCTTTCTGTCATTTATTTTTTCAACTTGCTTTTCTTATAGTTTCTTCCCACCACCCCCCTGCCCCGCCCTCTCTTTTAAATGTGAAGACTCATATCGTTAGCATGAATGGACTTGATAGCCAGGCTTTGGAGGAGGGCAACAGACAGATGGCAACTAGAAAACTAAAGCACTGGGAGTGGAACATACCTACTCTTCTCACAATCAAACTGAAATACTGTAAAAATGTCAATGCCACAGTCAATCAAATCAAAAGAGAACTACATTTATAAACAAGACAATTCCCAAAGGGTTGGCATATTACAGGTTGACTTCCTTAGTGGCTCAGAAGGTAAATAATCCGCCTGCAATGCAGGAGACCAAGGTCCAATCCCTGGGTCGGGAAGATCCCCTGGAGAAGGAAATGGCAACCCACTCCAGTATTCTTGCCTGGAGAATTCCTTGGGCAGAGGAGCCTGACAGGCTGCAGTTCATGAGGTTGCAGAGTCAGATATGACTGAGCGACTAACACTGGCATATTACAACACCCCTAAGAACTAATTTAGTTCATCAGGGAAAACAGTGACATGGTATAAAATAAAATAATTGGAAAACATATATAGGATTGAGGACAGGAGGAGAAGGAGGCAACAGAGAATGAGACGGTTGGATGGCATTGGACATGAGTTTGAGTCAACTCTGGGAGACAGTGAAAGACAGGGAAGCCTGGCATGCTGCAGTCCATGGGGTCACCGACTCAGACACAACTTAGTGTGCCTGAAAAAAAACAACAACAATTGAGGTGGGGAGGCAATAAAATATGTAAACTTGGGAGGTAAGAAATTTAGAAACAATAAAGGCTATCTGAAGTACTGCTGGGGGAAATAGCAACAGCCTCAGATATGCAGATGACACCACCCTTCTGGCAGAAAGCAAAGAGGAACTAAAGAGCCTCTTGATGAAGGTTAAAGAGGAGAGTGAAAAAGCTGGCTTGAAACTCAACATTCAAAAAAACTAAGATCGTGACATCAGGTCCCATCACTTCATGGCACATAGATGGCGAAACAATGGAAAGAGTGACAGACTTTATTTTTTGGGGCTCCAAAATCACTGCAGATAGTGACTGCAGCCATGAAATTAAAAGACGACTGCTCCTTGGAAGAAAAGCTATGACCAACCTAGACAGCGTATGAAAAAGCAGAGACATTACTTCACCAACAAAGGTCTGTTTAGTCAAAGCTATGGTTTTTCCAGTAGCTGTACAGAGAGAGTTGGACCATAAAGATAGCTGAGCCCCAAAGAACTGATGCTTTTGAACTGTGGTGTTGGAAAAGACTCTTGAGAATCCCTAGGACTGCAAGCAGATCAAACCAGTTAATCCTAAAGGAAATCAACCCTGAATATTCATTGGAAGGACTGATGCTGAAGCTGAAACCCCAATACTTTGGCCACCTGATGCAAAGAACCAACTCATTAGAAAAGACCCAACTCATTAGAAAAGACCCTGATGCTGGGACAGATTGAAGGCAGGAGGAGAAGGGGGCCACAGAGAATGAGATATTTGGATGGCATCACTGACTCAATGGACATGAGTCTGAGCAAGCTCCGGGAGATGGTGGAGGACAAGAAAGCCTGGTGTGCTGCAGTCCATGGGGTCACAAAGATTCGGACGTGACTGAGCGACTGAACAACAACAACAATTTTGAAATTAGGAAGGAGTGAGGAAAACAGTGCTTGCTTAAGTCTAGAGAGAAGCAAGTAGATGCCTTCACCTTTTTGCCTAGAAGAAACACCTTTTAAAAAATAAATAAATAAAAGCTAAGACAAAGCCACAAGGTGTTCAGCTATAGTCACACACTGGGTTAAGAGGGACGTTGTCAAGAACACGTTTTAAAAGGCATATTCAGGGATGTTGTTTCACTAAGGGTCCTATATTTGCAAAAATGTCTTCCTGATCAGCCTGCTAAATCTGAAGGAGAATGCACAGAAACTATGAAGATGTCAAAGAACCCTGGGGCAGGCAGGGGCAGGGGGTGCGGCGGGGATGTGGTGTTAGCCCGCCGAATCCCTTTCCAGCACAATACACAAATCTAAATGATCTAAGACCCTTGAGTTTATTTTGCTGACTCTAGTTTGTCCTCCCATCACTCTCTCAAAATCAACATGAAAAGGGAAGACAGAGGTCTTCCAAGACTCTCTTTACATTCGGTAGTTAGTGGTAACTTATGACTATGTTTTCAACTTTCTTCTGTTGAGTCATTGACTCCTCCTCCCCACTCGGTTTCCAGGGTCATTGGGCAACCCTTCATAAATCACTGGACTGGATTTGCTTTGTTTGGTCTTGCTCCAGCTTCTTCATTATCTCTTCTGTTGTGTACTACACAGTTTTGTAGACACACTGGATAAAGTGGAGAAACAAAACCAGATTATTCCCAGACTGCTTGCCAGCTGATTTTAAACTATTGCTTGCTGCTGGTACACAAAACAAGGTATAGTGTTTTATTCCTGAGTTTTTAGACTAGAAATGGGAGGGGGGTAGTTAATTTTTGGTTCTGTCAAACATCTTTGTTCTTTCTTTGCCTCAGTTTCTTAATTTGTTTAATAGTGCTGTTCATAATTTTGTTTTCTTCCCTAATTCTCTATAGTGCAAAATGCCTTGGGTATTTTCCCACCATTCTAGTGTCATTAAAAGAGGAGCAGGAAGGATATATGTATAACCATTTACAATCATCTAGATCTTGCTTCCAGAATTTCTTGGTCTTCAATTGTAGAGTTTCAAGAAATCTCTGAAACTATGTCAGTTCACAGAGTCAGCCCCACAGTGCTGATCCCCAGACTAGGGAAACCCAGGGAGTTTAAATAAATCACTGCAAGTCATATGGCTAGCTAGGGTCAGGACGTGGCAGGACTTGAACCTAACTCTTAGTATTTTCAACTGAACACATAACTCATTTGTACTCGAATTTCAGGATGCTTAAGCAGACTCAAGGTTTGGGCTGGATTTCTACCTTAGTCCAGGATGACTCTTGTAGATATATGATCTGGAAGATTCTGAGATCTTGGTACGATTGCAGGGAATTATGGTCTGATTATGGGCTTCCCAGGTGGCTCTAGTGGTAAAGAACCCACCTGCCAATGCAGGAAACATAAGAGACCACAACTTCCATCCCTGGATTGGGAAGATCCCCTGGAGGAGAACATGACAACCCATTCCAGTATTCTTGCTTGAAGAATCTCATGGACAGAGGAGACTGGGGGACTACAGTCCATAGCGTTGCAAAGAGATACGTCTGAAGGGACTTAGCACTCACGCATGGTCTGATTCTGTGGAGAGTCTAAGAGACCTAACCCCCTCCTTGAACAGAACCAAATCCCCAGAACCACATACTCAACCTACTTTCTTCACGGTTGACTCAGAGCAGAGCTGACACAGCTGAAACATTCGAGAGTACGCCCACATCTCTGGTTTACTGTGGACAGAGTGGAGTGGAACAAGGATTCAAGATCAACCATTCGTCCAAAGGGTCATCTGTTGACTGTAATTAACTCAGTATCACTGCAGGCCCATATCCTCTCTCAAATTAGTTGTAAGTGAAATCGCTTCAAAACAAAATTTTGCTTTATCCATAATTTTTTCTAATTTTGCAGAAAGCAGCTAAAGACTCATCAGCGAATATGAATCACAAATCATCCCCGTGTGCATGTGGGTTTTGTCCAAGTCTACACAAGAGGGGAACATTTTGTTTTAGAAATGTGAGATGTATGAAATACAAATCTGCCAAGAACCTTCCTCCGAATTGCTCTGGGACTAGGCAGGGCAGCCTGGGACCTTGCGAGGGCGGCGGGGGGCGGGAGAAAACAAGGCAAGTGTGAGTCAGGTAACGCCCTTGGGTGGGGTCCGGGGAAGATAAAGAAGTGAGATCATAAGGATAGAGAGCACTGAACATTTGTGTTCCACTGAGTCGGATCCATAATAAAGTTAGACAGTGGAGGTATGGAGGCCCCCAGAGTCCACAGCCTTTAGGTTCTCGGTGGGGGCAACAGGCAGGGAAGGGTCGACCTGGTTCTGCCAGAGGTCAAGGCACGGTTAGGGCGGACCCAGGAAAGTTCACCTGATTTTGCTCAAAAGCTGCAATCCTGTGCGCGGAGGTAAACAGGGTTGGAAGCGAAATCGGAACTGCAAAATCCAGGCCCTCGCCCCAAAGCACCCCTCCACCCCACGCCTTTCCTTCCCTGCCCGATCCCCTCCTCAGACCCGGGATGAGGGCAGGGGGTCGCCGACCCCCGCAATCGGTTGGTCACTGGGGGTGTCAGACTGCGGGACCCCGCCCATATGTCCTCCGGCCCCGCCCTTGGCCCCGCCCACCTCGATCGGTCCGCCCACCTCGATCGGCCCGCCCCCGTTGGGGAGAGCCGTCTCCGCCCTCGCCCCCGAGCTGCGAGGCTGCAGGACTGGTGCCGCAGTCGCCGCCTCGGCCACCGCGCAGCTGCCGGTCCACCTCCGCCACAGCTTAGCCGTGCTCGGAGCCCGGCCGAGGAGGCTGCCGCCGCCGCCAGGAGCCCGCAGCCCGCGCCCCGAGCCCGCCGCCGCCGCCCTCCGAGGGCGCCCCAGGCCGCGCCATGGTGAAGGTGACGTTCAATTCGGCTCTGGCCCAGAAGGAGGCCAAGAAGGACGAGGCCAAGAGCGGCGAGGAGGCGCTCATCATCCCTCCGGACGCCGTTGCCGTGGACTGCAAGGTCCGAGGGCCGGGGCTCGGGGAAGTGGGCCCGCCGGGGCCCCGGGAGAGCTGCGCCAGGCCAGGGCGGCTGTGCGCCCGGGGCTGCGCGGGGCGCGCGCGGGACGGGGGTCCCCGAGAGGGCCGAGCGCTCCTTTCTCTCAGGCTGCTCCCCTTTCTTGTCCGGCGCAGCTTCTTTGTAAGAAAGTGCGTGTGCAGAAAGCGGTGCCCGGCGCGGGATCGGGGGCTTGCGGGGCTCCGGGGGAGGAGGATTGGAGAACGGGGCCAAGTGCATGGTGCTGGGTGCAGTCGAGGAATGTGTGTGGGGCCGGGCCGGGGTTCGTTCCACCTGGAGACCGGCAGCGACAAGCAAAACGACAAAACAACAACAAGAGTTTGGCACGTCCTCCCAGTATAAATAATGTCCCTAAGATGGCTGACATCATCACAAGCCTAAACCGCAGTTGCTTCCTTACTTTCGTTTCCAGGCTGAACTGCACTGGGACTAAGTCCGGCTCCTGTAAGCCTCTTAATTTTAAAAGCGTTTTTTACCCCTTAACCTTCTCTTTCTCCGCGGCCCTTTGGTAGCGGTAGGTGAACTTCGCCGTGGGGTCTGGAGAGGGAGGGAGCGGGCGAGGGGAGAAGGCAAGGTAATGGTCTGCTCAGAGTAGGTTCTGGCTGTTCACTTTATAACCGAAATATTCCTGGTAAAGGTTACTAATTACTATCTGGATGTTAGTGTAAAACCGACAGGTCACTTTTAAATTATATCAGCAACTTTACGAGAACCCCTTAAGCTAAGTGAAACTAAACAAACTTGTCCTGCGTCTCTTTCAAAATTGTCCTTCATCCCTTTTTAAATTGTCCACCGTCCCTTCAAAAACTCTTCTTTATTTTACAAAATCCCCCTTTTAGCCCTAAGCAAAAATCCGGAGAACTATTATCGTGCTACAGTAATACTCATTTAGGATGTGATTGTAATTGTCTCAGAAGTTGAATAAACAGGAAAGGTTCACAACCTTTCTACCAGATCTTCAGGCTGCAAATATTTAATCCTGTAGAAATTAGTTGTAGAATTATTTATGTTCTGTACCTTTTAATTTTTTTGTTAGCATTTTTGAAGACCTGCTATAAGTAGGATAAACTTAGTTTTAACTCTAAAAAACCCAGTAACTTGTGCAGGTATAAACACTTTTTTAATCTATTACTACTACTGGGAAATGCAGTGTGAAAAATGTGTGAAAATACAGTGTTAATCTGCACGTGCCTATACTGGGATTTTGGAAATGTTCTAGTTAAAAACACAAATGTCAGGAGTTGATTTTTAAATGACTGTCTTGCCTTGAAATAGGAAGTGGACAGATTCCCTAAAAGGATTAAGCGTTTTGGTATTGGTATTGTTTGCCTGAATCCATTGCAAAGTCTAGGTTTTATAGAAAATGTTTGGACTCCACAGAGGATAATTCCAGCTGTAAATTATTATCTGAGCTCTGTATTTGTCTAACGTTCATTGTACCTAAATTAGATTGATAGTCAAGTACCCTGTCATAACAGACTGAAATACATATATAGAGATTAGGTAGATTTTAATCCTATTACATATCTTTTTAAAAATCCTATGAACAAATACAAATTCCTCTCATTAAAAAAGAGGAAGAAAGGATCCGATGATGTCACTTCAGATAGCTTTTCCCAGTTCCTGTTGTGAAGGAGATTTGAAACGCTGGACAAAAATCAGAAATAATTTGCTGGGCAGCTGTAAATCTGATTTTGGACATTTATTGTCAGTTCTGAAATGGTGACTGTGTTTTCAGATTCTCCGAATTTCTCACAATTTCACCATATTCAAATATTGTGGTCATAGCAGCAGTAAAAAAAAAAAAAAAAGTAACCATTCCTAGCTGTTTTCTCAGATCCCCATATCCAAAGAAAAATACTAGAACTAAGCTGTGAGGGCCTGTCTTCCTTTATAACCACACAGCAGTCGTGGATGAACTGGCAGATACAAAATGACTAATTCTTTTTCGAGCTGTGAACTCAAAGACCTCTTAACTGAGTGACAGAATATTGCTGTACGTTAGGAGAATCATTATAACCCGTCTGTCACTTAACAGTAAATGCAGAGCTTGCTTAGTAACAGGCATTTGCGCACGGTCTCTTAGCGCTCGGACGGTGGTTACATAATGTTCTTTGACTCCTCCAGTGACTGTACCGTGACCTCTGAGTCTGACTCCGAATTCTGCACAGAATCAGTCTTCCTGTGTTTGCCTCGGGCATTTCCTTGCCTGGTTGATCAAGAGGATCTGGTTTAGCTAGTTAGCAGAAACTCCTGAATAAGAATTTTGAGTATCTTTAACTCTCCCAGACCTCGGTGTCCAGAAGGCCATTGTTTCTCCAGTTGTACTCTTAAGGATCACCTGGTATCACCTGGGATTCTGGTTTAAAAATGCAGATTCTTCAGACCTTCTTGCAGTAAAGAATTCTGATCCCTCCAGTCGGCTGGCTTATGTAACTCACATTCCAGTACTTTTACACTGCTCCTGTCTTTTGCTAATTCTTTAACTCTTTTCTCTGGAAGCTGTTGCATTGTCCTATCTTTCAGATTTGTCTTTTTCAGTAGCTATTAATCCCAGCAACCACATCTGTGGATTATATTGTCTCAACTAGCTTGCTGTTTATTATTCTTTCTCTACATTTCCCCCTAGGTTTTATGTAATAGAGGTGAATTTGAAATTATGAATGTTTTATGTGAGAGGCAGCAATTCATTCATGAACTTCTTGTTTTTACTTTGAACTTTGAAACATTGTTTGTTATATACATGTAAATATCAAAGAAAATACTTAATGTCCTGAGTCAGAAGTCCCAGTTTTGTCAGTACATAACTGCTTGATCTTGGGTTTAAGTTTTTTTTTTTTAAGAGTTCTTTATGTGTAAGATGACAGGGTAGGACCAGATGGTCTGTAGAGGACTCTTCCAGTTTTAACATTCTGTGAAAATGGCAAGAATTACATAATTATATTTGGCAGGAGTCAGATTGTTTCAACTGTGAAAAATAATAGTTCCCCTCTCACCCTAACTAGACTGTTCCTTTTTTTCCTCCCCTTGTTTAGCTTGTTACATGCCTTCCTCTTATTAAGTAGCTGTGGGTCACGGAGAAAGGAGATGGCTAGAGGTATTATGTAATAAGCTAAATTTTCATTTTGGGTTACCTCATTGTAGAACAGTAGCTGTCAATAACTCCTGTTGTCATGCCTGATTATGAAATGCCTTTCCCAGTATCAGGCCTCGAAGAAGCTCAAGTTTTCTTCGTAGATAACCCTGTAAATTGTTTTGCTGATAAATAATGTTGCCTCTTCTCTGCAGTGCATTGTAGTTGTAGACATCCTTAAAAGGAAAAGTGAAATGCTTGTGGAGGGGAAGGAAAGGGCAGGATGGAAGCCTAAGTGAAGGACTACTAACCCAGTAAGTTCTGAGTCCACCCATCACAAAACGGCTATCTCCCTCCTAATTCTTTTCACTTTCTGGCATTTCTCTCTGCATAAAACAGGACTGGTCATTTAGCTTTTTGGTGATGTTGGTGTTCATTTTATTTTTTGTTTGGGGAGAGGTAGAGAGAGGGGAGGAGGAACATAAAATCTGATGCCATATACTAAAATGTTTTGGTCTTTAGAGAAGGGATGGGGAGCTTGGTTCCCTTTAACAAAAGTGCACATCATTACCCCGTTGTATAATTTAGTGTCAGTAAAACATTGGCCAGCAAAAACTTTACAGTCACTGCATTTTAGTTCTTCGTGAGGGTATTGATATCTGAAGTGAGGATTTATTGCTGGGTGATAAATTAATTGTCCCTATGCATACCAGCTGACCTTGGCAGGATCTCGTGTGTACACATGCCTCATTGGGCGGCTGCGGCTCCAGAGGGTGGAAAAAGTGTACGTTGTGCAGCTGGAAACTGCCCCAAGACCCTTTTTGGGGTCTTCGCAGTGTCACCTTAAACATAATCATCTTTGGACTAGATAGAACCGAGTATATTATCCTTGGCAAAATCATAAACCTGTAAGACATTTTGGAATTCAGCTCAGCCATATTAGAGATTTAGGAGAATAGAAGTATTACTTTAACCAGAAATATCTCTCGGAACACATGCTGTAGGCCTATTTAAATTGACTTAGAATTTAACTTTAAAAATTTTCAGTATGTATTGCTAGAGCTTGATGTAAGGTGGGACATTTTATTTCTTATTTGTTCTTTCATACTCTAACTTAAACACCTGGGATGTCTCTTTAAAAGGCATTTTTGTTTTTTCACCAAAAGGAAAATGCTTTCTGAATTCATGGTATAACTAAAACTTCTTGAACTCTTTTGTTTATCACAGTGTCAGCAGAGGAAGAGCCAGAAAAAAATTTGTGTCTTTTCAAAATGACATCAGTGAATCCATCCTCTTAAACTTTTTGGTAAACTTGTCACTTTTTATTAGAGCTTCGACTGAAGGAGTTAAGGACTCTGCCATCAAAGGACTTTTTCAGGCCATAGCTGCTGCCTGTTAAAAATAAAGGATTTGACAGTGCTGAATTTCTGAATGTGGTGGTTTTTGTCAAAATGCTATAGAAAGCAATAACACTGGAGTTATGTTTTCAAGAAGCTTATGTGTAAAGAGTTATTTCCTGTCTTTCCTATTTACTTTGCACGGCTTAACAATGAAAATTTTACAGGGTAGACAACTGAAAGTTGAAAATTAGAAATTTTGTTATAGATATGACCCTAAGAATATCATTAAAAATAATTCAATTGTGATTTTCCCTTTTAATCAGTGTTTATGATACATATACTTAGTAGCTTTAAATAATCCTATTTTATGTTACCAACAATTGAGCAAAATTGTTTGTAAACAACGTAAGTTTTTTTGAACTCTTGAATTGATCAATGGGAAAAAAAGAACTTAATAACTTAATGAAGTATTTCTATAATTCTGTCATCTCGGGGAAAATCAAGTAAAATGAACATAGACTTATGCAGAAGAA